AAAGTAAGGCAACTCAGCTGACCTCTCCTGTTTTAATACCATGAGAAATCAGCATAAGAAATAGCACTAGAAGCAACTTGCAATTTTACATTTCAACCACAGATGGCGACAGTGAGGCTAAAGTTTTGTAGTTCTGCAGTTAAACGACCTTACTTGTTTTTTTTGGGTTTTTTTTTTTTCTAACCTTCTGACCTTTTCTCTCTCCTTCACAATTCAAGGCTGCAGAATAGATCACATGTCAGAAATGCCACACTAAAACAGGACAGTTTGCCTCCTCTGCCTGAAGAGGAGGATCTGGAACCAGAACCTGAACCATCCTCCAGTCATACAAAATCTGAAAAAACACGATGTCTGAAAGAAAATTCACTCCAGTTGAACACAGCTAGTAATGGGCCTCTGCATCCACTACAAGTCTCTCAGATTCCTAATGGTTAGTAAAAGAAACATTCCCCAATGATTCCAGCATTACCATGATTTGAATAATAGAGTTAATTACTTTATGCTGAAATAGTTATTTTTGTGAGGATTTAGAGTTTTATTTCCTCCTAGATTAGGCTCCTGTAATGTCAATCAATCAATTCAAACTATAAATGCATGCGTCCAGTTTATTATACATACATCATAAGCAATAACCCAAATCTTTTACTGTAATCCTAAACCTAATCATATGTTAAGTACACACAGCTCTACACAGTTTTGCACAAACCTTAATTAAACACACCTGATTCAGCTAATTGTTGGCCGTATTTGAAATCGCACTATCCATATTACAGTATTAGAGGGAGCAGCCATTTAATGAGGTTCAATTAATGCACCGTAAAAACTAGTGCACAACTAAAGTACACTCAATGGCTAAATAATACCCATAATGCACTGTGAAAGTCTGACTAGAACATGGCATCCACAGTGGAATCCAATGTGTGACAATGTGTTTCCAAATAAATTATTTAATTGTTAAATTACCTGTTATATACATGACAAAGATCAAAATAAATTGTTTCATTATTAATAGCGTGTTAAATAACTATTACAGGGTTTCACAGAGAAGAGGGATTTATCAACCAGTAAAGCACAAATCCATACGATCCATCTGGTTCACGCAAATTCATTTTCATTCAGTCATTTAAGTGGACTTTAACAGTAGACTAATGTAGAAAATAGTGAACGAGGGTATAGGGGCAATTTCAGATACAGCCAATGTCTGTAATTTCTTACACGGCTTTATAGGGGTTTCATCTGGATTTGGCCTATACAAATAAAAAAAAGCTTCCCATGTCCCACATAGGTAGTGTTTTTTTTTTTTTTTTTTTTCTAAAGGTTTTCTGTAAAATAATGCAAATTTTTGGTATTATTTTGCAGAAAACCTTTAGAAATTACAAAAAAAAAAAAAAAACTACCTATAACAATAATACCAATATAAACAAATTGTATAGAATAATTGACAACTAAATACATTGAAATAAAATACTGCTATTATGAAGGTCTTGGTTAAATAGGTTTTTCCATGTTTTCACTTACAGGACCAAGCCAAATAGCTGACAGTGCTCAAGTCAGACCTACTTCTTGGACTAAAGACCCAGAGGAGGCCTCTCGAATACTGGCTGAGAAAAGAAGACAAGCTCGACTCCAAAAAGAGAAGGAAGAGGAGGAGCGCAGACAGAAAGAGGAGACAGAGAGGTATTCTTTAGTTGTTTTAGGTTTCTATCAGTAAAAGTCATTTTAAGTGATCTTAGTATGCTTCTGATAATCATCAAAGAAAAATTCTTGGGGTTGTAGTTGTGGACGAAAGTGAAGAGCGGCGTTAGGGTCGTGGGCCCTTGATAATGTCTTTGGAGGAAGAGAATGCGTAGGCCCTTAGAATCGTCCTAACTTTATAACCCCTCATTCAGATTCAGTATTCAGATTAAAGTGACATTCAAAAGCTTAATTAGTGTAATTAGGCAAGTCATTGTATAACAGTAGTTTATTCTGCAGACAATCAAAAATATACATTTCTTAAAGGGGCTAATAATATTGAGCTATTAAAATAGGTTTCAAAATATTTAAACCTGCTTTTATTCTAGTCAAAATAAAACAAATAAGCCTTTCTGCATAAGAAAAAATATTATAGGAAATACTGTGAAAAATTCTTGTTAAACATCATTTGGAAAATATTTATATATAAAAAAATTCACAGAAGGGCGAATAATTTTTACTTCAACTGATAATCGTTTTGAATCATCGTAATTACAATTATGGCCAAAATAATCGTGATTATGATTTATCCCATTTTGCAGAAAGAGGCGAGAAGAACTGGCGCGTCGGAGAGCCGAAGAACGAGCCCGCCAGGAAGCAGAGGCTTTGAAACTGGAGGAAGAAAAAAGGAAGAGAGAGCAAGAAGAGCAACTGAAGGCTGCAGCGGAAAATGCTCGCATACAGAAAGAGGAGGAAAACAGGCTCCAACAGCAGGTATTAGAAGCTGAATGTTTAAATACGTTCTCTAAACCCAGTTTAAAAGAGTCCTTTTATGCTTTGTAAAATTCATTTTAGTGTATATTGTTGCTGTTTGCGCATGAGAAAAATGAGTTAAATTACACAATGCAAAGTCATTTGAAAGGGAGTTATTCTTCTTTATAATCTATTCAATACAATCTTTATTAATTAGCGCTTTACAATACAGAGTCAAAATAGATGCCAAAACATAATGAAGTTCTAGTAAATTACTATTGCTTCAGTTCAGTTCAGTGTAATACAAATGTCACTACAACTTCTGCGACATCAGCACCATTTCTGAACTCCATCAAAAATCTCAATTGTAGTCCTGAGTTTTAATACAGGAGCATAAACAACACAATATCCCAGTTTTAAATAATTTCCCCCCAAGGGGACAAGGCCTGGTTAGGATGCATTAGTATTGTGTTGTTACCATTATTTCACAGTTCTTTACTCATATGCACATGAGATTTCCTCCCCAGCTGTTTACATTCACACAAACAACCAATATTATGTGAACCCCAGTATTTTTTGTACTTCTGAAATAATCTTGGTGTGTATTTGACAGCCGAAGTGAAAAAGAACTTGTTTAATCCCAACACAATATTCCACCTGACAGCGTACTGAAAAATCATACTCAGGTAAAAGTATCATTACCCAAAAATGAAGTGCGAATAAAAGTATCTGTTGTAAATATTACTCAAATGAGTAAAGTATGAGTAAAAAGCAGCCCTTTTAAAAGTAGTCAGGAGTCGTGATCAGTGAGTATTACACTGAGAAAGTTTGATGCGTTTACATGCAATTTGTTTGTGTGTGACTGCTTAAAGGTATTTGGCAATTTCAATCATCATACAATAAACATCCGTCATCTTCTTACCAGTGACATGCAGTATAAATAGTTTCTCAGTCATTGCGTGAAACGATTTTGTGTCTTGAGGTTGTTCTGTATGATGGGATTTTATGTTGTCCAATTTGATTGAATCACAAGACTGATTACTCTACTTTAGCCAATTACCATAGACAAGAAAACAAATAAAAACAGTGTCTGCAGGTTGAAGGAAAATAGTGTTGTAAAAGTACAGATACAGCACTAAAAATGTATTCCAGTGAAAGTAAAAGTATTTTTAAAATGACTTGTTAAAGTACAATTCCTGAGAAAACCTACTCAATTACAGTAATTTGAGTTTTTGTAGTTTGTTACTTCACACCACTGTGAAAACCACAGGAGTTTAAACTGACAAGGCTTTAAAATGCATACACATGTTTGTAGAATAACTAAGACACACACTGTAGAGGCCTCATCCTCTTTGGGAAAGGGGTCGGTGTGCAGCAGTTCATTTGAATAAAAACAACATACAGAAACAGCAAGCTTTTGTTTCAACTCAAATTTTCTGCATGGTACAAATAAAACAGTTTTAAATGGACTGATTTATACGGACCTTTTCTTTTAACATCTTACATGTTGTTTGGTAAGGTTTCTTTGACTTATTTATTTCCCATATTGTGGGACCATATTTCCCTCACAATGCTACATTATGATCATATAAAAATTTGCTAATCGTTGGCAGAATGCATTAAAAATTCTTATGATTCTCCATAATGTATTCTCAGAGAGAGGAAGAGGCTCGTCAGAGTGTGCTGGCAGAACAGCAGAGAGTGGAAAGAGAGATTCGTTTCCAGAAAGAAAAGGCTGAACGCCAAGAAAGAAAAAAGGTAAGATTTATTTTAGAAAGTCAGTCACATACAGTTGAACTAACTGTACAACTATAAATTAAATAAATTGAAAAACTTTCTAGTACACCGAAGCACAAGTCAAAAGCTTGGGGTCAGGAAGGTTTTTCCTTTTTCTTAATACCTTTATTCAGGCATGAAGCATTAAAATTACCAAAACTTACTGTACTTTTAAATTTTCTAATTATATATTGCAGTTTCCATGCAAACTTTAGCAACTGTTTTTTATAGTAATGAAAATAACGTTTTTAGGTCACAAATCAGTGTATTAATATGATTTCTATAGGATAATAATGTCACACGGAAGTCTGATTAGAAAAAACTGGAATAAATGTCACTTAAAATGTTATATCAAAATGAAAACTAGTCCTTTCCATCTGCAATATTAATAATAATACTTTAAATCAGCATTCATGTTGAGTCAGGTCCAAATACCTTTTAATCTTTTCCTGTTTCAAAAATATAAATAGAAAATGAATTAACATTTGACTTTATTTTGGAGCAGATAAATATGGACTTGATGAGAATAAAGGGCTGTGTGATATTAATTCTCCATAAATGATAATATCACAATACCTATATAAAAGATTTCTTTCACAAACATACAAAACCTATGACTGATGCTTTTAATTTCTCCCAAATCAGCGCTTGGAACAAATCATGAAAAGAACGAGAAAGACGGACTCTGTAGACAAGGTAAAGACTCTCTCTGGCAGGAGTTTTGTTTTCACCCCATCTAGTAGCCCTACTCACTTTCTGTCCTCTTTAGAAAGCCGCATCAGTGAAGGACAACTTGCCTTGTGAGAACGTGAACCCTGTAATCAGGCTAGCAGGTCCAGGAAAAACGCCAAAGCTGGAGCTGAGGGACGAGGAAGATATGCTTCCAACAGTGGCCTTCAAGGAGCGCAGATCCTTCCGCAGTCTTTCTGGCCTGGATGAGATACAAACCCATCAGCAAACTGGTAAGTGAATGCAGTCATCCGTGTAAAGCTTCTCAATTTTGAAACTAAATAAATATGGGTCAAAAGACGAGATGCCCTATTTTGATGTCAGCATTCAATTCAATTTACTGAAGTGACTTTAAATGCATAGAAAGCATATTAAAAGTAAATAAAGTGTCTACTTAAATTTTATTAGAGAGCGAGTGAGCGAGTATTAAGTTTATTGTCATCTCAGCTTCACTGTCTACTTTATTGAAAAAACCTGATAAAATTTACAAAAATGTTATAAATAACACTATTCTACAATGAAAAGGTTTATAACATTAAAAATACATTAACAACAATAAACAATACATCAAATAGGTTAACAAAATCTAAAACTAATTTTACTTTTGATCATTTATAATTAAAAAAAAAATAGAACATTACAATGTCTGACAGTTAGGTTGGTGTGGCAATATTGAAATTTTGGAGGAACTACTGCTTTGAGTAAATGAGTAAGTCCAGTCAAAGTCCCTTTAAGGCAAGTCATTTTACTCTGTGGCCATCTTTAAAACGCCTCTCTGGAATATGCTCAGCCCTTCTGTCTGAATGGGGAAACATCAAATTCTCCAAAACTGTTTGCCAAGCTTACGATTACATTATGCATTTAGAAATCACCAATAAAATTAAACTGTCTTCATTTTTAAAAGTTTCGTTTTTAAACATCAGAATCAAACAAACCGGCATATTTTCAGGTTGTCCAAGCTAATGCTAATGCTAATTCCCCCCCAGAGAATTGTCAGTCTACAGCAATCGATGATTGGCTCCTGTACCAGTAGGCTGGGCTACATTCACCATATTGACCGATACACTTTTCCCCATTTAAAACTATACAAGTGACATGTCTTGTGAATTCTACAGGTCTAGTGTCCAATATGGCAGCTTATATAATCTTGTCATGTCTTGACTTAAAATAATAGATTGATTTTTTTTTTACGGCTGGATTTGGAAAGGTTTATTATTTAAACCCTGATCCCATTCTACATACATTTGTTAAGAACATGGCCTTTCAATTAGTGGTTTCAAGTCTAAAAGTGGGATTTTGCACTCTTAAAGAGATAGTTCACCCAAAAAGGACAATTTACTAAACATGAAACCTTTACACATTTCTAGGATTCTCAGCAAATCTGAATACCTGTAACCACTGACTTTTATAGTAGTAAAAAACAAATACTAGGGAAGTCAATTGTTACATGCTTCTAGCTAAATTCAAAATATCCTCTTTCGTGTTTAACAGAAAAGCGTTTCATAAAGGTTTGAAAGAATGAATAAAGGATAGCAAAATGTTCATTTTCTGTGAACTATCCCTTTAATTCTTCTTGTAAAAGCGTTTAAAATAATTTTATCACCAATATAATAATATATTAAAATCTTAGAAGCAAATGTAAAAAATCTAGTGTTTTGAAGGATAATGGCAAAGATTTAAAATGTCAGTTAATATATTGGTGCTGCTTTGTAATCAAGGCTGCACAATGCATTTTTTTCAGCATCAATATTGCAAAGTGATCACTTTCAACAGTCACATAGCTGGATATGCAATGCTGAGGTTGTTTTTATAATTCATCATTTGCATGGTTTTTTTTGAGGCCAGCGACCATATGAGGATTTTAAAAGCATTCAGGGATAAGAAATGACTGACATAATGCTATCGAATAAAGGCAAAAAGGCCAAATATAAATCTTAAAAAAAATTGGACCGTTTGTGACTTTAACAACGACAAATTTGATTTAATTATTTTTATTTTTATTATGATTCAATTACTGTACCCAAATACTTTTAGACTAAATAATAAAACACAGTTTTTTTTTCAACTATATCTTTTTCTTGATTGTATTTACAGACTATTAGATTTTATGGAGTATTTATGGAGATGCACTCACACTGCAGAATCCTCCCAATCAATCTAACATTCTGAACTTTTTCCAAATAGAGATATTAGGTCCTCTAGTGAAATTGTATTCATTTAGCAATATACATTGCAGAACAAAGAAATAGAAATGTTAGATTTTTCCAACATCGTGTAGACCTAATCGTGATTCTTAAATAGGAGGCTTTTAATGCATTATCAAATGACTTGTTCTTAATATGACTTCAAGATTGTTCTTATATATAATGCCACATAGAATGACATTTTTGCTAAATTGTTAAAAATGTATTACCATTTTAGCCCAGAAAGAAAAATGAACTGGACAAATTGTAATGTAATGGGGAATATATTTAAAGCTGTAATGAAGCTTTCATTGTTTTTGATGCTTTAAAAACTTTAATCACCATTGACCCATATTTATTTATTTTTATTACTATTATTAAAAGGCTAACAAAATGTTTTTCTCCCCCCTCCCCCCTGCTTCAGAGGTTATTTAACCCACAGACCTGTCATGTGATGCCAAGACCGAGCAGCTTCAGCGAGTTCGTCTTTCTGAAAAACACAAAAACAACATATGCACATGATTTTCCTGCACTTTAAAAAGCATTTTAGTAACAAGTCACACTTGCTTACTGCATAGTTTAAACACCTGACTAGTGTTTGAATCTCTGGAGTGTTGACATGCATCGCTCAGTAGCCAGATACATTTGGGTACAGTTCAATTAATTGTAATTAATAATAATAATAACAACAACAACTTAATTGTACATCACCAACCAAATAAAAACTTGAATGCTTCATGCTCTAGCTTTAATTTAGTTATATTCGATATTTTAGTAAGTATGTTTATGGTGAAATGAAGAGAACAGCTTTATCTTTGAATCTCTGAGCCGTGACGTAATAGTCTTACTGGTCATATTCATACATGGGCAAATATAAACGACAACTTGAAACCTGCATGAATGAACACTTTACATTGCTGTTTAAAAGTGTTGGGGTCAGCGACCTCATGTTTTTTGTTGCTTTAATACTGTAATGACCGATTTAACAGCTAAATAGAATTGCTAAATTTATCCTTGCTGAATGGAAGTGTTTATTTTTTGACTGCAAATGTTCTTAGATTACCTTGAAAAACATGAACCATATTTCCACACCATCCTTAAGCACCAAAATCAGCATATTTTGCATATTAGAATGAGTAGTGGTTGCTGAAAATTCTGCTTCATCGTTACAGACATAAATTGCATTAAAAAGATAGTTTCACCATAAAAGGAAAAATAAATTCACTCAGTTTACTCTTCCTTGAAGTGGTATTAAATCTTTAAGTTTATGGGAAAGCAGCTGCTAGATATTGGAATAAACTGACATTGCGATATTTTGTTTTTCTACGATAGACATTTAAATATGAATATAATTTCACAATAGGTGACCTAAATGACTATATAGAAATAATTCAGACATCTGCATAAAACATGTTAAACAATTTGCAAGCATAGACAAATACAATAGAAAAGTCATCGTGTTTTATGATATTCTGTGGAGTCTAAGAGCAATTATGGAGATGAATTCAACATTAATCAAACAACATTATTTTGTCTTCATAGTAGAGCTGAGCGATATGGCAAAAATGCTATCTCCATTAAGTCTTTTCCATATTAACAATAAGGATATATATTTCGATATCAGTTGTTAATGCTTCCAGATTTAAAAGAGTATCCCAACAATGACTGAAGCCACAAAAATGAGAAGGTCCATTAACAACATAACCTATTTTCAGTAGGCAAAAATGCGGTGCATTCCCATTGTTGTACATTTCTGCTGTGTTTGGCTCTCAGATCCAAATAGAGTAAAAAAAGTCCAGGGCTTATCATTGTTTTTAACATAATCGCGATTCCATATCATATGGTTTATTGACCCAGCCATACTTCTACTATAAACGAAAACAATTTAATCTTTGTTAAATCTATAAACTTTAGAATGTCTTGGTTTTTAATCTTTACAGTTCTTAAAAACACATCCAATTGAAAATCTTTCACTCTGTTAGGATTAAACTTTGCAATGACTCCTCAAATCACGTTCTGAAATGCAGTTATTGGTCATTATAATCATTATATTAATAAGTTAACTCAAAATTGAGTGGAAGTTAATTCTACTCATTTGAAAAGAATTTTGAACTCAGTGTTAAAAGTAATGAGTTAATTAAATACCTCATTACTTCAACTTAAATGAAGGAGGTTCACAGTACTCATATAGATTTTTTTTTTAACTCAAATAGCTTGTAGCAATCGGTTTCTTCAAACAGTTAGAGTTGCCTTAACCTATTGAGTGTTCCAGTACTCAGTTGGTTTGAGTTTTTTTCATTTGAGTTTTACTGTGCTCAAATTGCTTCATTTACTCAAATGGATTAAGTTTACAGTCCTCATTAGGATTAGTTTTTGAACTTAAATGATTTTTTGCAACTGGTTTCCTCAAACGGTTTGAGTTACCTTAACTTTTTGGGTCTTACAGTGTACATAATAGGGATGCAACAATACAGTTAGCCCACGGTTCAATAGATACCTCGGTTTTTTATACGGTTTTTGGTTCAGTTCTCATGGCTTGACATGTTTTTTTTTTTCTATTCTATAGGTAATAGAAACAGCAAGAGGTTAAGAAGAAAAAAAATATTTCATTGCAATACTCATTTTGTTTTACTTTAAAGCCAAGAAAAGTACATTAGTTCCTAGTGTATTGTATAAAAAAATGAACACTGAAATCTCACAGCTGCTGGTAGCCCATTTACAAACTGGGGAACACATAAAATCCTACACTTTGAAAATAAACATACACGTGAAGCTAATAAAAATAAATTTGCCATTTCAAATAAACAATTTGTAATTAAGTAAACATAAATAAACCATATTAATGATCTCGGTGCTGAAAAAATGCAAGACTGTAGTCTGTAAAGCAGATTGTGTGCTTTTATAAGATGACAAAAGCCCACATCTCCAATCACCGAAAGCAAATCTTTAGCAATAAACACCCGCACTGTCTTTGTTATTTTTGTGTGTCTCGGAACCAGTTGGGTATGTTTGCTTGAAAGATTCAGCAAGGGATTGTTGCTATTTGGAGGACTTTATTACCTTCTCTGCTATTCAGCCTTCAGACAGTGATAATGATGGCGCTGCAGATGTGCAGTCATGGTTATACGTGTAAACCAATGCTTGCACACAATTATTTTTTGTTCACTGTTTTTTCTTTTATTGCCATTATACTTACCAGCAAAACCGAAATGTCCTCACACCGCAGATTTGAAAGACGCCGGCGCTTTCTCGTACTGTTGCCTCACTTCAACGGCGCTTCCTTGTACTGTTGCCCTAACCTCACTTCACCGGCGCTCGCCATGTTACAGTGTGGAATGATGCTCAAGCGCCCCCTAACTTTAGAGCATATTTATTGGATATTTACTCGTGGGGAGGAGTTTCCTCATCTCAGCTCGTAGACTTAAAGGCACACACAGCCAATTCGGGGAGATATAAAACGCACATAAATTTTTTTATGCGCAAAACCGAGAAAACAAAAATTCACAAGCAGGTATTGAACCGTGGAGGTTGTACCTAATGGTTTAATATTATATTGAGAACTGTGGCATCCCTAGTACACACATTAAAAACTAGTGTCATTTTATATTTAATTATTCAATTTGTCTTCCTGAGATCCGTACATCATTTATTTATTTCAAACTTTTCTCTACTGTATTTCTCAATGCTTGTGATTTATTACATTTAATGCAGATGTGCTCTACTATAAAATCATAATATCAATCAAAAAGTTATTTTCAAATAGAGCTATTCAACTCATCTGTTAAAATTCTACTCAATATCGCAGTTTGTATCTCAGAAAAATCAAATATCGCAATATCCATTTTATCCAATATTGTGCAGCCTAGTTTGAAATCAGTGAAGGGCGAGTAAATTAAGACATTTTCATTTTTGGGTGAACAATCCCTAATTAATGCACTTATAAATTGTAAGAATATATATTCATAATATTGATGTTTACTTGATCCAATAAACACAAATGATCTTATTTGTCTGCAAACGCTTGAACAAGGGTGTATAAGAGTTTATAATCAGACATCAGTGCTAGAAAGCAATCATCAGTAATTAATGTAATGAAGTCACTTTCTGTCTGTTCTCATTGCTGACCACTGCTTTTGCACCACAGTACTGAACGAGCTCATGAATTTACAGTTTCTGTTGCTGGTTTTGCACTGCTGCTACTTTAGCTGTTCCAAATAAAATGTTCCCCCACCCCTGTTTTCATAACCGAAATGTAATATTATTACATACTCGTCTGCCTTATAAGCATTGATCTATAGTGTGCCGGTAGGTAACTGCTTATCTTGTGCAATCATAGAGGCTTATGCAATATTATAAGGGGTAAAGATGTAAACAGTTTAATTCAGTTTTTTTATTGGTGTAATTAATAAAAGCTTAGAAAAACAAACTGGTTTGTGTGTTTTTTCATAACAGTCAACAAAAGCAATAATAAGAAGTAATACTTGTTGAAATTGCAGTTGACCTTTTTGAAAATTTACTATGGGTTCACTACAAAAATAATGATTTCTGTAGTTTTATGCGAACTACAATTTAACCATGGATTTGCTATTTTAGCGAAGCTGTAGTTTTACAAAAAAGATTTACTTTATAACATGACTTTACTACAATAAACCATGGTAAATTTAACTTGCGTGAAAAAACTATGTGGTGTGGTGCTGGCAGCCTAGAATTAGTCATTAAATAAATATTATATTTTAATATTGCATTATTTTTATAAGGGTGGTCAAATGTATTTTCATATGATTTTCATTTCTTTATTTTTGTTGTAGAATTATTAAGACACAGCAGTGTGATATATTTTCTGCTGGCTCCCCTCACATGTTGTTTTGACATCCTTAAAGGGTTAATTAAGGGAGAACCCTGGATGCATCCTCATACACTCGCTTATAAATATAAACCAACCCTTGCCTAAACACCCACATCAAAATGCTAAGATTTGATGTTTTTGGTCAGAATATATGGAGTCTATTTGCAAAAACAAATAACTACTGTTGGTATTTTATTCATTTATTTTTGAGTAGGTATATTGCAAAAATTTTTTAAAATAATGACCGTTTCTTAAGTCATAAAATATTTAATCTAAATATTTCTAATCTATGCAATGCACATAAATGCAAATTTAAATTAAACTAGGAACCTTTTAAAGCAAAAAAAAAAAAAAAAAACTTTTTTTTACTTTTTTACTTTAGTAACTTTAGGACTTTAATTGATGCAACAATATATATGATCACAGAGTCTCGTGCAATATGCAAGGTAAATATTATGCCACATTCAGAATGTTTTGTATAATAGTTAACTAATTAAACCAAACTATCACACCAAGGTAACCAAATTTTTGTTATCTTGCCTGGGGCCCCACCATTCTATGATTTAATTTTCGGTTCATTTATGATTAGAAGTAGGCATGGGACAATAACTATTTTCAAGGTATGCCACGGTTTGGAAATTTCAAGGTTTTAAAACTGCCAAAAAATTCTGCTATACCGTTCCTAAGGTGTGTACATTTTTTTTTTTTTACTTTTTTCTTTTGTATTTTTTAGGACAACAGTATCTCCAGCAGAAAAGATTTGCAAAGATGCCCTTTTATATTGCAATGAACTCTGTGTTTTTGAAAATAATGAAGACAGCAGAAGTCAATAATTCATTTGAATTATTAGATTGAGGTTTACTGTTACGAAATATTTTAAATGTTTCTTAATATAAAATATATTGTGTTCATTGGGGGGAAAAGTTTTAGATTTTTACCCAGATATTTCAGAAGAATAAATCTTAGAGCAGTAATCACAACGTCAAACTATATTTTTATTCAAGATTATCGTACCTTCAGAATCTTATACCGGCCCATGCCTAATTAGAAGTAGTGATTATTGTGAATATAAATCAAACCTGACAAAACAAGATATGTCATTCTTTCACCATTAGCCAACACAAAAATAAGTTAAAATACTGAAGTATAGAAAGTTAAGTATAGAAAATATTGATTAAAAATCCCTAATTAGTACAATAAAAACAGTATGAGGTGAAATTCCATTAAAACACAAGTTCTAATGAGATTTTGAAAACCAAACCAGATTCCATAGGAAAAAAAGTGGAAATTCAAATGAATTAAGTAATAATGTCCAAAAGGATTTAAATCATATAGGACAAAGTGAAATGTTCAATAAAACTTTTACAAATCCTACAAGATTAACTGAAATTCCAACAGGATTTTTTTGACAAGGGTTTTAAATAAATTTTAAACAATCCAATTTTTTGGTTATGCATATTAACAGTTTTACTACAATTAAATGAAATTAATATAAATGTCATTTACAAGACAAGTACTCATAAACTGAGGAAAACTCAGTTTAAAACTAACCATTTGTCATGCTGGGTTAGTTTTGTGTTAGATAACAGTTAACCCAACACATCCAATCATTCAGAAACACGATATTCGTTCTTCTAACTTACTGCTTAAAAAAGCTCTAAATTGGACAACAAATGATGGCCTATTCCTGGAAAGTGTCACACGCAACCAGTGAACCTCGGGGGATTGAAATTCGCAGCACTTACCAGATTTTGTTGGATTAAAGGGAGTTTAAACAACATTTGGTGGGATCATCCGAGCAAAACCGCATCAGATGACACGATGGTATCGCAGTTTGAAGACAACAGAGCGAAAGCTAAATTTGGGCTGACGTTAATTAGTTCACCTGTCCAGATTCTGTTTGACGGTCAGTAAATCCACTACGTTAACCGAGACATGAAAATGTCACAATCTCACCGTACAATGGTTTAAACAAAACAAAGTACGTAAATTATAATACCCTTTGCTCAGCCAGGAGTGTTTTATGTTTATTAACAGCTATATTTACTCTGAGGTGTGTCAACAGCCCCAAATAGTCTTAACTCGACGATATATTATAAACACACTGACCAGCAAGTGGCGCTACAGGCAAATACGTGAAGATTTTCGGTTTGTCTGGTGAATGGAGCAAAAGCAAAAGTGGTTTTTAAATATTTTATGGCAAATACATTATTTATATAAAACTGGCCATTCCTAATGATGCTTAAATATTTATAATTTCACAAGATTTAGTAAAACAACAGGTAACCTCATGACATGTAATCCATTTTAAGAGCTAGTCTACGGTTTTGATTTGTTTCATTATTGACCAGAATAACAAACGTTTCATTTTTTGTCACTGAAAATTAATGTTATTCCACAAAATATTGATTTTAACTATTTAAGTTAAAACATGGGCAGTCTCACAGCAAGGTCGCTGCTTTGAGACTCGGCGGGTCAGTTGGCATTTCTGTGTGGAGTTTGCATGTTTTCCCCGTGTTCGCGTGGGTTTCCTCCTGCTCCTGTTTCCCACACAGTCCAAAAACATGGTATAGGGGAATTGGCTAAGCTAAATTGTCCGCAGTGTATATTTGTGAATTATTGTGTATGTTTCCTATATTGATGAGTTGCAGCTGGAAGGGCACCCCCTGTGTAAAACATATGCTGGATATTAAAACATTGGTATTAAATTGTCTAAAATATACTTTTAATAATGCAAAACATGCTCTAAATTAGTGATTTCCATAGTTGGGGTCGGGGCCCCATGGGGCGTTGCAGGACAATGTGAAGGGGTCGCCAAGTGATTAAAAAAAATCAAATAAACTATTAGAATTACCACATTTTTTACATAACCTACACAAGATTAAAATAGTATTTACTAGTTACATAAAAAACACTATGCAATAAAAAGCTATCAGCCTTTCAATATTAATAATATTATTTGTAACATTGAATATATATTCTGCTGAAAAATCCAGCGTAAACCAGCCTAGGCTGGTTTGCTGGTTTTAGCTGGTCAACTAGGCTGGTTTTAGAGGGGTTTTGGCCACTTCCAGGCTAGTTTCCAGCCATTTCCAGCCTGGTCTTAGCTGGTCAGCTATGACCAGCTAAATACAGCTAAAACCAGCTTGAGCAGCCTAGCCAAAACCAGCTATGTCCAGCTTAAAACAGGTTGGTCAAGCTGGTTTTAGCTGGATTTGGCTGGTCATTTTCCAGCCTGAGCAGCTAAGACCAGGCTGGAAATGGCTTGAAACCAGCCGGGAAGTGGCCAAAACCCCTCTAACACCAGCCTGGTCGACCAGCTAAAACCAGCCAACCAGCCTAGGCTGGTTTAAGCTTGATTTTTTTTAGCAGGTAGCGTCAGTTGCAGCAACTTTGACACCTTTACGGAACTAACGTACTTTAAAAATAAAAGTTTTTTTTTAAAAGATTTAAAAAATCATACACAACTGAAGATAGAGGATGATCTTCATGTGACTGTCTCCAAAATTAAACCTTGCAGTAAACATTGTGCCCACCAGTCTCATTAGATTAGGTTAATATTAAATTAAACCAATGAATAATAAACAAAAAAGTAAAAATATGATTTTTAGATTTTTGCACTTTTTTTTAGCATATTGTGTTGTAAATATGCTTGTGTTTATATAGGCCTAATTGTGTGTGTGCACCATTGTGTGCAAAACTTGTTCAGTTGAAGTCCGAATTATTAGCCCACATTTTTTATTTTTGCCATGATGACTGTAAATAATATTTAACTAATTTGTTTCAAGACACTTCTATACAGCTTTATGTGACATTTAAAGGCTTAACTAGGTTAATTAAGTTAACTAGGCAGGATAGGGTAATTAGGCAAGTTATTGTATGAGGATGGTTTGTTTTGTGGACTATCGAAACAAATTTGCTTAAAGGGGCTTATAATTTTGACCCTAAAATGGTTTTAAAAATTAAAAACTGCTTCTATTCTAGCTGAAATAAAACAATTACTCCAGAAGAACTTTCTCCAGAAAAAAAAATATTATCAGACATACTGTGAAAATGTCCTTGCTCTGTTAAAACATAATTTGGGAAATATTTAAAAAAAGAAAAAAAAAAATTAAAGGGGGTCTAATAACTTCAACTGTATGTTTAAAACCACCTCAGAGGATAGTGGGCGTCGCTGGTCACTGAAATTGTATTTTAGGTGTCACAGGCTCAAAAGTTTGAGAACCCCTGCTCTAAATGACAAGTCTTATTTTGAGAACCCCTGCTCTAAATGACAAGTCTTATTTTGAATTTGGGAAAAAAGAAAACCTTTGTCAAATGCCACATCATCATTTTCAAGTAATAATGATCATTTCTTTATTGCTGCTGATTAAAATAATGATCAAGATGCTATAAATCACACAACAGGCATAAAAGGATATATCATTTATTGCACTCTAGTGCATTTTAACACGAAAATGAACAATTTTCATTACAAAAGCAGGACATAGTTTCACTTGGTGACTTTTAAAAATCTTGTTAAAGACAAGTTATTCCTCATACACATTCTCATGCAGTAAGTTTGGCTTGTTTGCAGTTTTGGACGTATTTTGTAGGCTTATAAATTGCTCAGGATGCATTAACAATCTGCTTTTGTCCAGAGTTTACTTTAATTAATGATCATGCGACTGGCATTGTGTTGTTTTGTTGAGGTGTACATTTCAGCTTAAAATTTAGAAAAGTATAAGAAGGAGAAAAAAAAAAACTTTTTACAACACATTACAAGCCCTACAGGCTCAGTCCTTCAGTTTAGGGATTCATATCAGTCCCGAGACCCATACATCCACCATTAACAACTTCAGTGTCCAAAATATTACAAATTCAGTCAATATAATGTATTTATAAATGTGTAAAATGACCAATAAACATGTTGAAGTCTTTAATGTGCTTTTTTTGCATTTTGTAAAATGCATAAAATACATACTGTGAGTGCAGGATTTATTATTAAAATAATAATTCATAATTTGTTGACTATGTTGGGTATAGATTACATCTCAAACTAAATCTTTGGCAGTTCTTGTTTTATAAAAGTGCTGTTGACACCATCAAAAGTGTCCCTTATCTTAGAAAGCCCTATAATGGATTTTCTTTTACATATATATACCATAATACCCTGGCAAAATGTTAGTGGAACATAATCTAAGCATGTATTTGTGCTAAAACACCTTCATTTTTACAATATAATGCACAAAATAAAGGAGCCTATCTAATGTGGTCACTTTTAAAAAGATACATTCAAAAACTCGTAGCCTAACAGCTGTAAAGCATACCGGAAAAGCACTCATTTTATACAAATTCTTCAATTAACATATTAACAACAACATAAAAGGCCAAAAAGCATGTTCTTCAAAAGCATCATAAATAATCAGTTGTGTAGTTGTGCTGCATGTGCATCTAAAGCATAAGAATATTACCCAGAATAAATGTTATCTGACTGCAAAAACCCTCCAACCAAATGGAAAAAAAACACTTTCATTGTGTGCAGATGTGAACTGAAATACAAAAGGCAACAAAGCTGATTAACATGGACAATTTTCCCTAAAAGTTTACATTGAGTCCTGGTATTGAAAGCATGTTTCCATCATTAGAAAAAGAAAAAACGAATATATATATTGCAAATTTGCTTTCATCTCACAATTCTGACTTCCTGGCAGTTCATTTCACAGTGGCAACTCCTGGTAAAAGCAGGGACTAAGCCGAAGAAATGTAAGTGAACTATGACTTCCTTATTTGCAAGTGAGGAAAAAAATGAGGTAAAGTTGGTTTTATATTCGCACATTCGTTCATTTTAACTGTCCCCATATTGTTTACCATGCTAATTTTAATAATCAGTCTGAAACTATATATACTTTAAGGCTGCATCTGAAATCGCATACTTCAATACTATATAGTACTCTAAAACAGTTGCTGCATTCAAATTTACACATGTATACTATGCCCTAAAAGTATGTCCTTTTTTGTAAAGGAAAATTATATACTTTTGAGTGTGTGACAGAAGATTATGCAAGCTTTGGGACATACTACTTCCTTAATAACAGATCATTATGATGCGTATCTATGCCTCGGCAATCATCCCGACACATCATCCTCATTACCTACCTAGATATTGATTAACAGTCCTTTAAACAACTTTACCAAAGCTTCTCTACTTGACGCTTAATCTTGTGCATCCGCCATGTTTGTAGTTTGTTTACATTTTTTTTTCTTACCCGAGTTTGTAGTTCAAATCAAATTCACGTCCGACGTGCAATGTATTGTGGGCAATATTAGTGGTTAGAGCATAGGTCTTAGATTTCTGGAGGGCTGCAGCTCTGCACAGTTTTGCTCCAACCTTGATCAAAAGCAGCTGATCCAACTAATCAACAACATGTTTAAGACTACTAGACACTACAAAATCAGCTGTGTTTGATTAGGGTTGGAGCAAATCTATGCAGAGCTGCAGCCCTCCTGGAATTGAGTTTGAGACCTATGGGTTTTTACCGGAAATTGTAAACCATCGGGGAACCTTTGGCATATTCTTTTCAACATTTTACAGTTTGGGACATACTAATTCTATTTTTGAATACTATTTAGGATGGATAGTATGCAAATTGAGATGCAGCAATAGATACATGCTATGCTATCCCATGATGCCCCATGAGAGAATTTATGTATCGGACTGAAGCGACGCAACTGATGTGTGTAGGTCACGTGAACATGACAAAAAGCCAGACAAAGGAAGTCCAAGTTACATTCATACTACTCGCATTCATACGGTATAGAACGTACTTTTCTAACGGTCGAGTAGTACATTTAAATTCAAATGCAGTACCTACTGAGTAGTAGGCGATTACGGATGCAGCCTTGAGCAGGTCGCACACTGGATGTGCCCCGGCGCGCACATGACTGTTGAAAGTATCGCACACCAGACGTACACATTCGCATGTTAAATTTCAAATTAAACTAATGAGATAGCGCTCTGTGACGCGGCAGAAATATGAACAGTGTCCCAAGCCGCCACCGACTTGTGGCACCGGTGTGCATACCCTGATAGAAACCTATGCTTAGAATTCTGAAATTCATGGCGCGTCGCCGAGCGGCACATCTGGTGTTGGACCCCCTTTAGTATGACTTTAAAACAACATTATAAAATTGACTGTGAACAATGTTGTACTTTAATATTCATTAGCTGCTAATATGATTTCCCTATTTACAATAGGCAAATAATACTTTTCTGAAATTATATTATAAAGAAGAATGTCTGAATGTGCGGATATAAAACCAACTTTACTGCAATGAAGAAAAATTGCAAATTAGTATATAATTCTTAGTGTCCAATTTTTTTTCTCAGAAATCTTTTTTATATCTCAACATTGAGTTTATTCTGACGTTTCTCTCAGAATTTAGTGTACTTTATTTTTATTATTTACATTAAAATTCAAAAGTTTATATCTTTCATTTGTAGCTTTTTATCTTTCATTTTTGTATGTTTGTGTGTGTGTGAAAAAAAATTATTTTGACTTTTTTTTCAATATAAGTCCATATCTTACACATTTTTTCCTAGAATCTTAAAGTTCTAAATTTTTTCTTCAGATTTAAAAAAATCGTAATTATAAGTGGGAAAATGAATTAAAAGGAAAAGTTAGAACTGCAATTAAAATAATGATAATTATAATATTCTTTTAATGGACAATGGACTAAACTTAATTCTGTCAACATTTACTCACCCTCATCTTACACTGAAATCTTTAAAACAATGCCTGCCCTTTCATTTTCAGGTGAACTGCTCTTTTCTATCATGAAGCAGATGTATGAGAGCGTGAGAGTGAATTTTCTTGTTGGTTAATATTGCAATCATTCGTCCATGTTGAAGAGGAGTTTAGGAAGCGTCCTTGAATCAATCTGAGGCAGGACAAGAAGGCAGTAAACGAAGAGCCACGCAGCCAAGAGGATGAACACAAGGTCAGACAAGGCTTCAGATGTGCTTTCTGGACTCTTTCTCTCTGAGCTGTAAAGAAACAAAACAGACAATGGCATATTAAGTTTACTCGCACTGTAGCTGCGTCCCAATTTAGAGGTTTCATCCTCCGAAGGCAGAACCATTGTAAAATGTGAAGGTTTTGTACAAAAGTGCTATTAAACTTTTTTAAACAATCCTTTTTTGTTCATTTACAGTGGGTTTAAAATTGGCGACCGCAAGGAAGTTGTGAATCATAGAAAAGTCAATCATATCTCAGTGATCAATGAAACTGTCATTGAAACATATGAGGCAGAATTGTTCAAGTAAATTATTTATTGCAAATAGTATGCTGTACCAAACAGAAACATTAATAGTATATGACAGCTAAAACAAAAAATCCAACCAAACCAGCAGTTACACATTTAGTAATTTATAGTAAAGAGAAATATTTAGGAATAAGCATTATATTGTATATATTTTTCAACTCTTCATTAAGGAATTACTCTACGTTATGGAGTATCATTAGTAACTATCATGAACTAATAGTAATTACTATAGTATACTTTAGCCTTTACTACAGTAAACTATATAAAAATAATAATAATAATAATAATAATAATAATAATAATAATAAAGTACCACAACAAATAAATGTACTTTAATGAGTCTAAATGAGTACTTTAAAATTGTAAAGTTAAAAAACATTATATTACTTACTATAAATTACTAAAATATTTTTGAGCACAGCATCAGATTCAAAGTTATTGCATCTTAACAATAACTTAATGTACTTCTCGAGGTATGGTCACGAGAAATCCTGCTTCAGAAATAACCCATCTCCCTCAGTTATCTTTCCATCAAGCAAATTTCTTGTGTCAGCCTAATGATTGATTGGCGACGTCATCGACCAAACTAGAGGTGGCTGTAATGCACCAAAGGTTTGTTGTCGACCATCGTAAAACAGGAAGAAAACGTCATTCTTGTCATTCTTAATTTACCTTCATCGGCTAGATAATGGCCTTCCAGTTCCGTGAATGTTGGTGCCGCCACTTACTGATCCACAATGGGTAAATGCAGCTTGTGTGGATGCTACTGTGCTACTTCACAAAAAATTGCTTTGCTACTGAAAAGTTATTTGATTTAGAAAGTAGCAATGCTACTGAAAAATGTAGCTAAGTTAGTAGTGTCACTACTTGTAGCGATGCTACTGCCCAACACTGCTGGCAATAGCAAGTCTCTGTACTTGCTCTGCCATAATATTTCAAAAAATTATTTCTTAGTCGAGAATTACAAATGGAAAAGAGAAAAAAGTATACACATAAACAAAAATAAAATAAGTAAAGTCTTATTTTAAAGTTCGAAAGCGTTTTTTTTGTTTTGTTTGTTTGTTCATATTGTGAAGCCGTTCCTAGAGAAACAGAATATTAAGTGGGTGTGGTTTGTTTCATCTACTACGAGCTTATTGGATGTAGTAAAAAGAAAGATCGATTCAAAGCAGCAGCAGCGTAGCAGATCTATTATGCCAAGACCAAACACATCAACATTATCATTCACATAATTTTTACCATACTAAATCTCTCCGAGAGTTGTCATGACAGAAAATAATTAATATATTTTTCATTATTTGAATTATGAAAACTTTGTTAAGATAAATAAACACATAAGAAATCAAATGATTAGCAGCATTCAATGAGTTTCTTCTGCAGCCTCTGAATCAGGACCGGCTTGTGTCTGTTAGCTTCATTTATTTTACATAGTCCTCCTCATAAAAGTTGAAATACATTAATAAATTTATTCAGAGAGAATGTATTAAATTGATCAGAACAAAAACCAGCTTAGTATAATGATTTCTGCACGATAATGTGACTGAAATTTTAGCTTTGCTATCACCGATCAATTTGAAAATAATAAACAATTATCAAAAAATAAAAAAAGATTATTGTTTTGTTGTGTTTTAAATAAATAAATGCAGTCTTACCAAGCATAAAAACTAACGAGTAACATTATATGTATCATAAACACATTTAAAATGTACTTCGTCTTTTCCAAGAAAAACAAAACATACCCAAATTATCAAAGAATCATCTTACACCATGCTTTCAGTGTCAACAAGGAAGACAAACGCTACTCAAAATACTTCATGGAGTAATGAAAATTAAACAGAACTCAAGAAAGCATCTTGTCATCTAAAATTAAAGTGCATCTCTGTGCAAATATGTTTCAGGCATGCATGGATGAGTGTCTCAACACAACACGCTCCCAACCTTTTCTAGATCCCCGTTGTTGTTGCAAACGATTTGCACAATTACATCACCGCAGGACTGTCATTGAAAGCACAAAGCATACATTTGAGAATTAAAAATAGCCTAGGGGTGTAAACATAAGCCGTGGCACACCTCCAAACACACTCCTATCACAGGTACATGGAAAACACCCAGTCTGAACAAAAGCAACAGTCTCGTTTAGTGGATATGATGCACAATGTGCAACAAAACAGGGATGGAAGTGCTTGCCAGAGCAGGTTTCTTTTTTATGGCTTCCAGTGCTCTTAGTCATTTTGGATCCAAACCAAACACTGCAATTGCTATATTGTATGAGTTAAGGATGGAAATTAAGACTAGCAAGAGAATAAGTGCACTAAACCATACCACAGATTCAAAATATCTAGCATTAGAACATTTTGTTTTCTAATCACATTTTTGTTCATGGTGATGTAAACATGTTAACTCATTTTCCTTTCTTAGAGTAAAGTTTATGAACTGCTTAAAGGGACAGTCACCCAGAAATGAAGTTACCTCATCATTTATTCTTTTAAACTTATGGGTTTCTTCCTTCTGTTGAACACTTCTTGCTGACACCCATTGAATTGAATGATAATATTGAATGATAATATCAAATAAAATAATAAAAATAATAATAATATGGATGACAATGGCAACCAGCATACTTCAAAATATCTTCTTTTGTGTGTAACAGAATAAAGCAACTCACAAAAGTTTGAATTCACACATGGGAGAGTAAATGAGTCATTTTAATGTTTTGAGTGAATTTCTTTAACGTTTTTTAGAGATATGAAGTGATTGTAAAAAAAAGTGTCCAGCACAAATGTGAAAAAACTTATGCAAGTGTTAGTGAAAGTGTCAGAGAGATGAAAGAATGTGTTTTCCACAAGGGGTTTGTCAAGCCCACTAACCTGTGTGAGGAACACTCACAATTAGGGCTGCACAACTAAAATGAGAATTACGATTGTTTTGCTTAAAATCAGGATCACGATTTTCTTACAATTCTGTAGATGTAAAATAAAGGTTAATATGAGTAAGCTATTATTATTGTTCTTCTCAAACATGTGGTAAAACAGCACTAATAATATTAGGGCTATGTAACAGACTTCAAATTTGTTCTGGTTGTTAATTCACATCAAAGTGACAACATCAGAATATAATTATTCATAATTCTGTAGCTGAATTCTTGTGTTTAAGACATATGCTTGTCATTTGTCATTGACAACATTTTTAGACCATTTTTTTCAATGCTAAACCAAGACATCTGTCATTATCAGATTCCTTCTTGCATTATATTCAATATTATATAGGCAAGAGTAGTTATATTGACCCAGTAAACATTTATTTTCATGCACAACATGCAAAACAGTAGAGTATCAAATGCTTGTCGTAATCATAACTGTAAAATGTGATATGATCATTTAAATGATGTGCACGCCGGATTTACTTTCACTGACGCATGCGTTCATGTCATGGCTGCTGTCACTGAGAAAAAAAACACACATGCCAATCATACTCCCAAACGATCACTCTGTGCAACAAACTGAACGTTATTTACAACTTCATTACCGGTTATTCACAGCCTATGCAGGTTCTGTTCACTAAAGTAGACATGGCGGGCACGCCATGGGCTTCTGAGGTAAACAATCAGTGCTTCAGCTCATGCGTGATTTTGCAGCCGCACATACATCATTATATTAAGACAAAAATTACATTTTTGGGTGGATTATACCTTATAAATACAGCATGTGACACTTTTTACACTATTTGGAGGTGCCCATGTTGCTGAGCTGCGCATGTAAAACAATGAGACGACTTTTGCGCCCGCCTTTAAGCTTCTCTCCTGACCTTGAAAATAAAATTGGCTGAATCGTAGAAAAGGTGGATTAAGATCGTGAGATCGCAATCTTTTAACGATTGATCGTGCAGCCCTATTCACAATCGCATAATATTTAGAGCAGGGGTGCCCAAAGTTTTTCTTATGAAGGGCCCAAAACCAAACTTGATTAAGAGTAGTGAGCCGAATGTAAATATAGTTGCCATATATAATTTTGGAATTTATTTAATAATATTTAAAAATGACTAAACCAGTGCTTATATTAACTAATACAGTATTTTTTAACATTGTTTAGTTTTTACTGAATAAGGTCATTATGCAGTCTAATTTATAACAGAATCACAGTATTTTTTGCCTTGATTTGCTTACCGATGTCTTCTGCGATGTCCTCTATCCATCAAGTGACAGTATTTTCATTTCAGTTTGCGTTTTTTTGAAGCTCAGCAATAAAACAAAAGAGGTTACGTAAAAAAAAGTTACCTCAAACTACAAATGACGATCTCCGTGTTAAAGGCATTCGCCCTAACACTCTCCATCATTCTCACTCTTCTGTCAGAAGGGATGGTGGGCCAAATCAAAGCTTACAATGGGCCAACTTTGGGCATCTCTGGTTTAGAGGTTGTCATGTGGTGTGGTTCGGCATTCTGACATCACTACTAAAAAATAAACTGATTTATTAAAAAAAGGTTTGTGAATGCAATTTACTTCTATTTTTAGTTTAGTTTGCATGTCAATTTGGAGAGAGCGCAAACAATTTAAGCTTGGAGCTTAAAGTTAAAATTTAGACCGCTCTTGTGAACTTCTACATCAATGCTGCATCTTGAGTGAATAATATGAGTTGATTTATTTAAATGGATGCATGCACCAAACATTATAATTAGCTCGCTAACTACTTACCCTGAAGCAGTTTCAAACCTTTATTAGTTTCTTTTTTTATGTTGAACACAAAAGAAGATATTCTGAAGAGAGCTGAAAACTGGTAACAATTGACTTCCATGGAAGGAAAAACATATTCTATGAAAGTCAATGGTTAGAGCATAGGTCTCAAACTCAAGTCCTGGAGGGCCGCAGCTCTGCAGTTTTGCTCCAACCCTATCAAACACAGCTGATCCGACTAATGAAAGTGTTTGTGACTCTTTTGAAGACCTCGATTATTTGGATCAGCTGTGTTTGATAGGGTTGGAGCAAACCTGTGCAGAGCTGCGGCCCTCCAGGAATTAAGTTTGAGATCTAGGGGTTAGAGGTTTCCTGCTTTCTTCAAAAAGTCTTTTTTTCGTTCCACAGAAGAAAGAAGAGGTTTGTGAAAATGAAATGCTGATGAAATTTCGTTTTTGGAAGAACTATCCATTTAAAATGACATTTGGCATACAGCAACAAAGGAAATATCTGCATATGTTACTTAAATATGCAAATAGTTACATTCTGACATCAATACTGGGAAATAAACTGATTTATAAAAGGCTTGTGAATGCAATTTACTTTTATTGTTGTTTTATTAGTATTCATATAAAATTGGACAACAGATTATTTCAATAAGCTGATTTTTGTGAATTATCAGCATATTGGTTCACATGTAAACATGCTAAATGTCCACCAAAATCTCAGAATAGATCTAAGAAATATTAAGCATGATTAAGTGGTTTCAATTACCTTTTGTTGATTATAGTAGCATCCACTTTGATGCCGTCTAAAGTCTTCCCATTTTGTCCCTAGTAAAAGGAAACAACATATTGGTGAAAACAAAGAATAATGCTGTCAATCCTGAGCAATGTTAACCATGCAAACAATTATTATAATTAAGAACAGTTAGATTCTTACTTTCTAATTTCATTCTATTTTAAATGTCATTCATTCATTGTGATGCAAGTTGCATTTTTACATGATACATGATACATGTCACATAATACTTTTTTCAAATTTCTTTGGTAAATAAATAAAGTTTAAAAGAACTGCATTTGTTTTGAAAAATCCGAGATCTTTTGTATCATTATAAAGGTCTTTGTTGCCTTTTTAATAACTTAAAGGTCTAAAATTGATGCCAACTTTCGAACAGTAGAGTATAAGATATTACTTTTATATCAAAAACAGTACAAAAAGATTTAGTTGCAGGGTTTCTGCAGGTTTTACCAAGTTAAATTTAAGACTTTTAAAGACATTTTTAAGATCATTATGAATGAAATTTTAGACTCACACAGGGCTAAACGCTAAGGAGTTTTTCAAATGGCACAGATTGAAAAGATTTTTATTTGCCCTCTCAAAAATTGATTTATAACACAATTCATTTAATAACAATGATGTATTAATTATTTTTAAAAAATGTATATGTTAGATACAGTATGTCTTTATAAGAATAATATAAATACAGCGTAACAGTGTAAATGTTTTAAAAGTTTTAAAAAACTAATAAACTAGATGTATGCACAGCAATCTGTCCAGGTCAGTGTCCTCAGCATTAAATATGTAGAGCACTTTTAAACAAATGTTATTGTAACGAAAATAATTAAACCATTATGATACAGTAAAAAATTAGCTTTTTAAATAAAAAGTTAAAAGTTTTATTGGGGTGGGATTGTTGGTGATTGTATGGGTTTTGGTCAGATTGGGTAGCAATACATGAACAAAGAAAAATTAAGACTTGTTTAAAAAAGATTTAAGACTATATTTCAGTAAATATAACACTTTTTAAGGCCTAAATTTAGATTTTGGAATTTAAGATATATTAAGACTTTTTAAGACCCTGCAGAAACCCAGAGTTGCACATCAAGAAACAGTTCCAGATTGTTACATTTTACTGATCTTTTGGTATTGCTATGTGATTGCTAAGGCCTTCTTGACTGTTCTTTTTAACTGTTATGTGGTTTCTAGTCAAAAGATCCCATTCACTGGTCTTTACAATAATCCTTTCCATAGACAAAGTTAGTACTTCTCCATAAACAATTTGCAATAACAAACCTTTAATTCACTGGAGTCATCGATCTTTCTCAAATGTATAGTAGTCAAAAGTGGGCTTGCATCCGTCACAGTTCCTTCCCTTTTAAATAAAAAATGACAAAATTGATAAAGCCAATGAAATTATGCCTCACTGAACCTTACAACCAAATTCACTGTATTCATGACAGACTGAATCCTGGCCAAAAAATCTTTCATAACTTAAATCAGCATAACATGAACACAACATAACAAAAAAAATTTTGCAACACGTATCTGAAAAAGATATGACCTGTGCTCCAAAGTTTTCAAAACAAAGCATTAGATACATTTTAAGCAACTGAACTGGATCTTATGAGGTCACGTCCTCCAGAAAAAACAACGCTCCCCCCTGTGGCTCATACTGTGTATCTGTAGCAGACTCCATTAATAGAGCTGTACCTCAGAGCTCCAGTGTTTTCTCTGGCACCAGCGCCGATCAAGTCGTCATCTGTCTTAATGAGCTCACAATGCTCAGCTGGTGAATCGGGCTCCACCGCACCCCATTCTCCCGGGTGCCTGTCAAACGGGCTTTGCTCCTGGAGTAGCAAAGATCCTGCTCTGCCCTGGATTGACACATTTAGAATGGAGTAAATCAATAATGCAGGACTGATGTTTAATATGCATATTACAGGCACAAGATCTTATGAACTAGGGTAATAGTATCACTGTAATGACCATTCTTGTATCCCAAGTGCAAATTAAGTCCAATGTATACTAAAATACCAAAGTAAGCCCAATGTATACTTTTTACCCTGCAAGGAGCCATTAAATTGAAACAATTGATGGCACCACAGATTTTTAATTCAAATAAAAGTTATTAATTTGAACTTTACATTATTTTTACTTAATATTATTAAACATTTTCAATCACAAATAGTCCGCTGTAATTCATTAGCATTTACCACTGCTTTTAACCTTTACATGTTCAAATGCATCTGTTGGGATCACTTTTATTAGGATTTTGTCAAAACTATAATCTTAGATTTTTTCACGCTCTAAAAGACGTTCTAGAGATTACCCAGAGTGATGTACAGATACTACTGCATAAACAAACTCGTGTTACGTGGCCTAATTAACACAAAGCCAACATTCTGAAATCCACTTTAAGCTTCTTCTAAGACATAATTTCTAAAATTATCTCCAGGATTCCCACTTTTTTATGGACACCAAATTCAAAGACTTTCAAAAACTTTTAAAATCCCTAATAATTTTAAATCGAGCGCCATAATTCACATCCCCAGCATATGAAAACCCTTTCGCTTGTGTTTAATATTTGAATTAAAATGTCATAATAATGATGATGTTTTGAATGTGTCATTTTCACCAATAGAGACCGTTTTAAACAGTCATCTTACAACTAGTTGAATTCAATAATGGTAATTTTCAAATGTGGCTACTGAAATATAGATAAAATGCATTGTTTGACATAGTTCTAGTAGAAGTAAATTAAGAATTTCTTAAAGCAGTTTCTCAGTACAGTTGTTGAAATAACACCATAAACTTTAAATTCAAGCACTTTCAATGACCTATGTTTGTTTTTAAGTACTATCCAGGCCTTAAATTGTCTGAAATTCAAGTTAATTACTTTCAAAAAGCATAGGAACCCTGTATCTCCTCTGAGAGCTTTTAAGAAACACAACCACCAAACTTGGCTTAGACCAGGGGTGTCCAAACTTGTTCCTGGAGGGCTGGTGTCCTGGAGAGTTTAGCTCCAACCCTAATCAAACACACCTGAACCAGCTAATCAAGCTCTTACTAAATATACTAGAAACTTCCTGGTGGGTGTGTTGCAGCAAGTTGGAGCTAAACTCAGCAGGACACCGGCCCTCCAGGACCGAGTTTGGACACCCCTGGCTTCGACCTTCAACTTGTCTAACTGATCGAGTTCCCATTAAATGGGCAATCAAACCTATGAATCTCCTTTTGACTTTCATTGAGGGGTAAAAACTTTGAAGCAATAAAATTATATAGACCATTAAATGCCTACAGACCTTCATTGAACAATTTACCTCTAACTAGCAAAGCCTAGCAACTAGCCTAAAACATAAATTGATGCTACAAAGTTGCTAATTCATGCTAAAAACAGGCTGGCAGCATGCTAATTCTTGATAGCCGCACGCTAATTCATTCTATAAATATGCTAGCTTCTTCAAGCCAACTGCAAAGTTTGTCAACAAACAAACGTTACTCTTCTAGTTTCGATTCTAATCTGTGTTTTGATACCACACAGCAAAGTAAGAATAGCTTGTTTAAGTGTTTTCTCACAACACGTCCCATAATGGTCATAAACTACTTCAGTAGGTGTTTTTTGCAGCTGGTCAAAATTATTTGACAATATGAGGGCTAACACTATGACAGACATTTCGACTGATTGTAACTTCGACTGCCTCTCGAAGCAGTCTAAAGTGTATAACTCAAAACATTTAAGCACATATCTACACCAATACCTAGAAATGTCCACTGACATGTGACTTACAAAAAATTATCTTAACACTGAGTATAAACAAGCCCTAAAAGGTCAAATGTAGGAAAAGGGGACAAAATAAAGTATATATTCCTTGTGCACTGTTCAAATTTACTATCTTTTGTTATGTTAGGGATAAAAACATCCACTAAATGAAACTGCTGTAAAAATACACTTTTTCAAAAAAAAAAGTTTTTTTTTTTTTTTTTTTTTTGCATTAATCTGTTAATCAACCTCAGTCCTGATCAAAACTACTAAATTGTTTAGAAAATTACAGGATTTTACCTATTTAATTGCCAAGTACACAAATGATGTCACTGATTTGTTGGGGAAAAACCCACACAAAATGACTTCTTTTCAACATAAAAACACAAAAAGTAATTGTGGACTGATATTTTTCCCTTTTACAGTCTTGGACATGTGAATGATTAATAACAACATTAGCTTTGATGCATTGTTAGATTTTTATTTTACTTCTAGTTTACTGTTGGTGGCTGTTTTTGGCCATTGACTTCCATTATAACTACATTTGATGGTGCATAAATACACAGTCTTTGTTTTTGTTTACTCCATGTAGTTCTGAGAGCTGAGATGCATAATTTGATTTTCTCAGACACATCAAGGTAAGTGCATAAAGGTCATTCTCACACACTCACAGACACACATACATACACTTTAATTTGCTGTTATACTCCATATAAAATCCAGAAAAAAAAAAAAAAAAAAAAAAAAAAAAATATATATATATATATATATATATATATATATATATATATATATTAGCGCTGTCAAAATTAGTGCGTTAACGCATGCGATTAATTTTAAATAATTAACGCGTTAAAAAAAATTAACGCAATTAACGCAGTTGCAGGTTTTTTTTACTTCCTGTTGTGGTGGACGTGTGTTTAACATGCAAGAAATGTGGATAAGACCAAGGAAGCACTTTTTAAAGGCAAATTTCAGTATAAAACAATTAGTCGCATCACCTAGCTCTCCAAAGTTTCATGCAATTTCGGGTGTTTCATTTTTAACTTTCGACTTCTGTTGTAACTTGATACCGCATGGCGAACAGAAAGAAAATCCTCCGCATTTCGTGACTCGGTGTTCCTTTAAGGTAATAAAATCACTGCTTAGGCTACACGGTAGAATTTGAATAAGAGTATAATCTTAATCATATTAAAATCTGAGTATTGGTGTCTTATGTGAATGTACTCAGAAAGTCTCTGGTGAAGTCGCAAGCTGTCAAAGACAGGGCATTACTCTGCCTTTCAGCATCAGCTCTCCATGTTTAGCGTGTTTCCTCATTAAACGCAACGAAAGCGTATGCTTCGTTAATCGCGAAATTAATCGCGATAAATTTTTTTTAAAGATTGACAGCACTAATATATATATATATATATATATATATATATATATATATATATATATATATATATATATATATATATATATATATATTTGCACAGGCATATCTAAAGGGTAATGGTGCTAAATGATGATCAAAAGTAAAAATGCCCAATTGTACCTCTTACCAACAGGGAAAACCACCATTAAAAAATTTGTAATAAAAAAATGTGGCTATAATTGAACTCAATGTGGCAAATAACAGCCGCCAACAGTAAATTAGGGAGAAAACAATGAAAATTTATTAAAAACAATGCATCAAATGCAATGTTGTTTCACATGTCTAAGATTTAGATGAAAGGTTAAAAAATCCAGTCCATAATTACATTTTATAATGAAAATACGTCATTTTGTGTTTTTTTTTACTAAATCAGTGACATCACTTATGAAATTAGCAATTAAAGAGTTAAAGTCCTGAAATTTTCTAAAAACAATTAGTAGTTTTGATTAGGACTGAGAATGATTCACAGATTTATGCAAAAAAAATAATAATTTAAAAATATTTATCTGATGCATTTTTTCAGCAGTTTAATTCAGTGGATATTTTTTATCCCAAACATAACGAAAGGGTAGTAAATTTTCCCAGTTTGTATTGTTGGGTTTAAAAAAAAAACAAAGCATTTTCTCAAAATATGTGTCAAATATCCATTTGAGATTTGCACATATAGGAGCATGTGTGGCACCAAGAAAGCAACTATACTTTTTAATCCCTTATCTAACAGCTTCTAAAGCAGTGCTACTGAACCCAATTCTTTAGAGAGCTGATCCACATACTGGTTATTTGAGGGAGCTGAAATAGTCTTTTATAGTTCATCTCAACTATCAAACTTTAATCTGAGATTGAAAGCATGCGTGAGAGGAAAATGAAAACAGTATAACTTCAGACTACAATTCTTGGACTATACTCAAAGGAATCTATAGCAACTGTAGCAGATCATTGCAGCCAGAGATCATTTTGAGTAGTGCACTCAAGTGAACTACATTCGGAAATTGAGTTTGTGACCCTGAAAAAGCACATATGCTGATACCGCTGCTTCTGTTTATAGGTCACTCTCTGTATCAAACTGAGCTTTGTTTTCTAGGCCAATGGAAAGTTAGAATGAAAAATAACCTTTTTTGACTTATATCCATTGCTGTGGTCTTCTGATGCATCTTCAGTGTCAGTATCTGATTCAGTAAATGAGCGCTTTGGAGGTGCTGGCTGAAGCGGAGTCATGCTGAGGGACAGACGTAACTCTGCAGGACGCCTTTCTGGGAACCCACGGACACCAATAATGGGTTCTGCGTCCTCACAGGTGGTATCCGGTTCAATTAGTGACTCAATGCTGGACAATTCTGGAAAATGTCTGAGTGGGCTTTGGGTTAATATAGAGTCTTTTTCTCCATCAGTGATGTTAGAGTCTGAAAGAGGGTCAAGTAAGGCCTCTGTGACAGATTTCCGGGAGTCCACTACCGATAAAGGTCTGTTATTCTGGTCTCCTCCAGGCACTGTATTGTCTGAAACCTGAGCTTGACTTTCACCATTTATATTGTGGGAAAACTCTGTCCTCCTTATGCCGTCTGACCCATTTTCCAAGTCGCTCTTACCTATAACAAGCCGATCTTCGCGAATGCCTTTCCTCTCTCTTGGCTCATTCTTGAGATCACTTACAGTTCCATTTAATTCATTGTTCTGCTCCCTTGGATTGTCCTCAAAGTTTCCACCTGCATCTGATTCAGTGAAATGTCTCGAATCTGAATTACAGTCTCTCTCGGTTGAGCTTGAATGAGACAGACAATAGTCCCCCTGTTCACAAGAATCACCTGAACTCTTCATCACTGGACCTCCACACATATAACACACCTGATCTTCATCATGAACCTCAACATCTGATTGGCTCTGATCTGAAACTGTTTTTTCTTGATCATCAAATACAACATCCTTTACCTCACTTTTCAAGACACCTGCTTGTTCACCATGATTGAAGTCACTGTCCTCATTGGTCTCAGAATGACCATTTGCTAGATCGTTTTTGCTCGGTTCCTCTGTTGGTTCTTCAGTCAGATCGGTGCACAGCTTAATATCCTCCTCACTTCCTGATATAGAAACTCTCTCGTATTGCAGAACTGGGCACTCAGGCTCACTGTCATACTCAAATGTGACCGGTTTCTTCTCGGGTCCATCTGTCCTTTCGAGAGTGTCCCTCTGAATGGCTTGTGTATTCGAAGACTCATTGTCGTCCTGAAAGGGATCAGATATTATTTCTTCATCAACTGGAGACAGGAGAGGACTTCCAATCTCAGGTTGAGCTGGAATGCCTTCCTTACTATCCTGAAAGAAGCCAGAGTCACTTTCCAAACATGAAGGAACTTCAGAAGTTGGTTTCTCTCCTTCATGGTATCCCGAAGGACTGGTTTTGGAATCTTCTAAGCAAGATTCATCCCTGGGCAAAGGATTATTGGACTGTTCTTCTTTCAGATCTAGGATGTATTTGTAAGCATCGTCCTCCTCAGATACTGCAATGGATTTGGCATGTAAACTATCCATGGAGCCAAGGGAATAGTTGCCCTCGTCAATGAAAAGCTCGCGGTCCAATTGATTTTCTGGTGTGCTTTCTGGTGAAAACGGAGACCCTAAATCTGAGGTCACTTCAACAGTACCCGTCGTATCTCTCTCACTCATTGGCTCCTCAGTAACCCGATGAGAGTTAGTAGTCTCACTATGTACCTCACTCCATGAGTCTGGAGAGTTGACAGCAGAATCCGACAATGAAGGTTGTGGTGAGCTAGTTGTGGGTGTGTCTTTGTTCAAGTCCAAGGGAGGATAAACAGGCTGGTCATTGGCAGGACTTGGACTTGGGCCCATTGTCGACTCTTCGTGGGTCCAGGGTCTGTCCTCAGGGGTTTGCAAAAGGACTGGGGAGGGGATCTGCTCACGCTCTTCAGACACTGAGGAGATGAAGATCTTGGGTGGTGGATGAACTGAGTCTCTCTTAACCATATAAGTCTCCCGTTTTCTCTGTACTCCATTCCGAACGGGAGCATCATCCATACGAGCTCTGGCTTTACTTCTTTCCCGAATATCTGATGTGTCATCCTGGGAAAAAAAACCCCATAAAACAAAGTGATTTTAGTTAGGATATATGACATTTGTACACTGATGTAATGCTGTAAGTCAATGAAAAATTCCTACCTCCTCAATTCCAGGAAAGTGCTCCAGAAACTGGGACACATAGGTCATTATGGACTGCTCATCGGGGGGATTGAGCATCACATCTGAGAAGACATGCTTCATTTTAGTTCAGCTATGCTAATGCATTTTAAGAGATTTACTAAAAACAATACTAAACTGTTTCTCAGTATGGGGCTGTTTCTCAATATGTATTTTTGTCTGTACTTGCGTTCTTGTGTCCTCATGAAATGTCATCAACCGTCGCCAAAGTACTGTTCCAATTCAAAGTTCACATCTTGCCAAGTATAGATACAATTCCTGAATGTGCTTTTGCTCTGCGCCTTTTGCCAAAGACGCATCAAAAGGTGACTTGTGCAAACTTGCGAAGCACAGGTATCCCAGAATGCATTGCAACCTAACCAGCAAAAGCTAATGGTGGACGAGAAAACAAGCACGATTTTAAAAAAACTATTCTGTTGTGTCACAAAATAAAGTGTTAAGAGTTTTTCAGGCGTATTGTAGTTGTTTTAAACTCGAATCTGCAGTTTATTTGTAAAGATAGCACATTTTTGGTGACAAGCCTCAGCTTATGCGAACTCTGACCCCCAGCCTGTCAGCGGGACCATCGTCATCAGCTTCCCGGCCGATAGCAGCTTTATTAAGTCCATTACAGATGTACCATGTGCATCTTTCTAGTGTAGTTAAAGCATGATATTTAATCCATCTTGTGCATATCCTTTGGACAGTTTTCAGTCTTTTAAATCTATTACTTGTTTATTAGGTGTATTATGTTGGCAGTGTTATTTTGTTACCTTTTATAATTGTATTTAATTATGTTACTGTGTTGTACGATGTTCGTCTTTGTTTAGAAAATAGTTTATCGTTATCTTTATTTCATATTTTTTACATCTTGTACCTTATACTTGTATAATGTCTGTTGTAGTTTTACTTCACATTTAGAATGATTTATGTTTACATTTCTCAAATCAAAAATATTAATTTATAATATCAATATAATGTTAAATAATTTTATTGTTAATGTACAGTGAACCGATGAATCCATAACACTGCCGTACTATTTAAAGAAGTACCTGTCTTGTGTCCTTGCGTCCTGTGTAGTTCATTGTTTCAAGTCTGAACTTTCAAGAACGCAAGTCTGAACTTTGCGTACTTGGTATTGAGAAACAGCCCTGAATCCTTGTTTCAAAAACATTAAAATATTCTCTAAATGTTTTAAAGATCCAGTTCAAAATAAAATACAAATTCCTAATTCTTCTATTGAAAAGCACCCTGGAAACAATTGGTTAAAAATTGTAACTAAAAAAATATGCAATGACATTCATACATTTTGAAGTGCACCTCCTCAGCACACTTTTTTTGGTCTGCTCTATAAATACATCAAACAACACTTTAACATTTACCCTCTGGTTCAAGGAGTTTCGGGATGCCAAGACTGTAGTGTGCCGTTCTGAATGCCTCCTCAATGTTCTCTCTGGGTGTTCGGAGAAAAGACCTCCTCATATCCACTAAACTGGGGTCAATGGACTTTATCACAGCAAGAAAAGCCAGACCACTCGTCCAACTCTTCCCAAAGTCCTGCACAGCAACTCCATATCTGGAAGAAAAACGCATCAAGTAATGACTTGATTTTCTATAGGTATAGTAATCGTATCCATTCAGCACAATTGGGCTGGGTGATATGGACCAAAATTCATATCCTGGTATATTTTGACAAAGCCATGATATATCTTTTGTATCCCAGTATTGTGTACAATGTTCAGTAAAATTAAAAGTAAAAAAGAAATAAATATGAAAAAGCTTAAACTAAATATTCAGCTGTCGATATCATGTAAATAAAAATGTACAAAATAACTTCTTTAAAAGAAAAAAAATAAGGATGTCTTTGAAACGATTATTACAACAAATAAAATATGCTCTCAGCACAGAAGAACTTCTTTTCTGATATACACTGATATTGATTGACATATACTGATACTGATTACAAAAACTGATGTTGGCCAATAGTATGCAGTGCTACAGTACTTTACTACCCATTAAATTAATTTGACTCCACCAATCAGATTTGCACTTTTAGCACAGAGCTGCTGAAGTTACAGTAAACAGCACTTGGAGGCTCTCAAGTGCAAAACTGCCAATGCGAGCGCACATTGAAGAAGATGGCCAGAAGCGATATGAACGTGGAGCTACTTATTGCACTAGTGAATAATAATCATTTCTTCATCACTAGAGCTGGAGCTGCTGCTTGAACCATCCATGTGTGTTCGAATCGCCAATAACTTTAACAACAAGTGTGTCAACTTTCTCTCTTCTTTTACTGTATTACAAGCGGGTGTCAGAAGCTTAAAGTTGTGTAGCGCCATCTAACGTCAAGGAGTAATTTTGCATACTTTTTTTGCCCGTGAAAATCGCTTAGGTTTGAATCCGGAAAAACGTCTCAAAAAACACAGACGATGAACGGTGCGTACAAGCCTTAAGATGTATTAGTGTAAACAGGGCATGAGAGTGTGTTTTTCACGAGCGGGTTGTTGCTGCAAAGGGGGAGGGGCAGAGGACTGTGATGCCAGCTCAGCATCGTGATGTCTATCGGCCATCGGGGATGGACGATGGTATTGACTATCGACCCCCCCTAACTAAATATAGATTTATTTAACAAATGTAAGCCAAACAAACGAAGCCAGTGCTGTTGCTATTGACCTTATTCTAAAATGCAGAAGTGCGCCTGTTTTCGCGATTCTCTTAGAACTTCTGATTCAGTCGCCTATGGGAGAAATGACTAGGAATAATAAACGGCAGAAAATGGTCAAACTACTTGCTCTACAAACAAATGTTTGCATGACTACACAGACCAAGTAGAATAATATAATCAAAAACTATCAAATTGCCACATCAAGCAGAGTAACGAGCAGTTTTAAACATCAAAAAATGAATGGAAGTGAATGAGACCGGAAGTCTCAAGCCAAAAAGATTCAAATGGCAGCGCCCGCTCGTCAGCGGAGAATAAGGTGAATAGTTTAGTTATAAATTTTGCTGCTCCAGAAAACATTGACCAACTAAAGTGCAGTAAGTTTCTTTACTTGTGCAGTACATTTTAGCCCAAACTAACCGATAGTTTTGTGCCAGCCCTTGAACATGGTGCACAGAGATTCCTTTCCCAAAGCATGTCAGACATTTAATACATATTTATATGTGATATTTTGTACATATTATAAATAAAAAATTTATTAATCAAAAGACATGCTTACTTATTTCCTCCTTGTAAAATAATAAAACATCGCTATCTGCCTTTTTCATATTATTGTGATAGCTTTAAAGGAATCCAATATCGATGCATGCCTATTTATAATGATTGATTGTAATCAGGAATCAAACTGAAAGATTGTCATTGAAGCAAAATTGAATCAGGACATCTGAATCGATACCCAACCCTAATTCCCAGAAGCCTACTTTCTAGTCCGTCTCTGGACCCACTGCAGGAGGGTTTTGATGACCTTCCCATGACCCCGTGGAGCGACAGTGGGCTTTCTCTCATCTGTGGGTGTGCTGGAGTGGGACGTGTCTGAATCGGAGCTGGTCGGGATTGACGACAAGCTGGAGGACGATGGAAACTGGCTCTTAATGTTCCCCGTGAGCTCCTTGATCTGCAACACAAACAGGTCATTACTGAGTATGCAGACGAGCAGCGTTTGCTCAGCACGGTGGCATTTCCTATCATCCTACTAAGTAAACTCTTCAGTCATATCTAAACACCGACTAGACATCAGCGATAAGGGAACTGCCCGGTCTCACAGATAAGATTAGTGCACAATTGGAGCCTAATCCAACATAATGTGCCTGCCAAGACATTCAGAAGGTGAAGCACATACGATCTGTAGTGCAATCAGACCTTGTTTCTAGGCATGGGACGATCACCGGTTTCAAGGTTTACTGCGGTTTGGAAATGTCAAGGTTTTACTACCGCCAAAATGTTCTGTTATACCGTTTATATTGTGTATGTATGTTTTTTTTTATCAACAATTTATTTTCTATATGTTTATATTTGTCCTGAGTCAGATCATTAGATTGTGTCTAATAGTATTTGCTAACATTTGTATTCAAACCATGATTCCTCAACAGTGTCAAAACAATACCCTTATCCAACTAAATCCAATCATATGAGGCCTAATCCAAATCTAAAAGCATCAAGACATTTAAATAAATCAACTCTGAGGAAGAAAACAAGATTAAATTACCTGGAAAAACAGTATGATATTCCAGATAAGCCCGAGCACTATGGATGGATTGCCATCTGCGATATCCGTTGCATCGATGCTGACTAATTTCACCTAAAACCAAAGACGGACTCATCACATTTTCAAGAAAAAGCACTCAGAGTGTTTTATTTGGTTTCCACAATCAATACTCACGTTTCTTTCTTCCAGAAAGGCCAATACCTTGGCGATGTTATTGAGCCTAAAAATGCGATGCGAGGACGGCTTAAACCCATGCAGCTGAAAGGATGAAAGGTCAGGGTTTTCTTAGTGGTTCAAGAAAACAGATGAAGACATTTGAAAATCTACTGAAGTGATTCTCACTAGTTTGCTTCCTGAGAGTTCGTCAAGAAGAGCCATCAGCATCTTCCCATCCTGGATATCACGGAACAGGTCCCGCACTTCCATACGAGGATTGCACTGCACAACAGTCAATCAATAAATATCATTAAATAATACCGTTCATTATTTAAACTCTGTTTTTAATAAACTCTATTTAGGGAACAAAAGTGAATAACATTTGTTGTATACAAATATGCAATTTCTGCTTTTCATTTTCTTTTTTTCAACACTTTTATGAACATAAATTAACATTTAACCCCCCCTCACCTCCACACATAGCAAGTCTTCTTGCAAAACATATAACAGATGAATCAGTGAACAAACATACATAAATGAAAAAATAGTAATGAAACGAAGTTAATAAATAAATAAAATAAACAGTAAAATGAACAATAATGTGCTTATGTTGCATTATTTAAATTCTTACAAAACAACAAAATGACAATTTATATACAATTTATACAAATATATAATAAACAAATATAGTTTAAACAAATCTTTTTTGCACAATGATGCTTCTTGTACACCGCCTTATTATCTTTTGGGAGAAGCCTACGGAGACCCGGATAGGATTTGATGGTGGGAAAAAAAGTGGGTGGGAGAAAAAAAATTAGCAATAAGAGGCTTTTTTTTTTTTGTGCATTCCCTCGCAAAGATGTTTTGCAAAAAACTGTTGTTTGACAAACACTTCCTGTTCACTTCATACATGACAACCCTCGCCAGGATTCTCACAAATTGTACTATTCTATCCCACTATCATTAAGTATTTTTTCTCTCACCCAGTTTTTTTTCTTCCACCCATTTTTTCCCCCACCATCACATCCCTTCCGGGTCTCTGTAAAAGCCTGTGTCATATGCCATCAAAAAAAAAAAAAAAAAAAAAAAACGTGCTGGCTAAATAAAAAATACTTTCAAAATTTGCCAGGGGTATGAAGAATTTCAGGTTTTACTGTATATATGAATTTATCATTTATTGGGATGAGTTATAAGTGTATTAATAAAGCCTGTTATTAGGATTTTTAATATATTAGGGCTGTGCAATGTGACGAATATAGTCTATTGTAAGAGCAAAAAAAAATCCACTATTTTATATTTAAAAGATCCCATATTTCGGTTTATTTTTTGCTCTGTTGTTTATGTCATGGTGTCGCAAAATACATGGTTTATGGTAATGCAGACAGAAACATTAATAACAGCACCGTGAGAAAGCTGCAATCTTGAAAGTCTCGGAGGTCTAGAGAGAATTCTTTTGTCCTTATGCTTGGTTTGTGCTTTGACATGCACTGTCAACCCTGGAACCCTTTATAGACAGGTGTATGCCTTTTCAAATCATGTCCAACCAACTGAATTTACCACAGGTGAACTCCAATGAAGCTGCTGAAATATCTCAACAATGTGGAAAAAGTTGGAGCTTTACAGCAAAGGCTGTGAATAATTATGGACATCTGATTTTTCAGGTTTTTTATTTTTAATAAATTTACAACAATTTCAAAAAATCATTTTTCACATTCTCAATATGGAGTATTGTTTGTAGAATTGTGAGGAAATAAATGAATTTAATCAATTTTGGAATAAGGCTGTAACAAAAATATGTGGAAAAAGTGAAGCGCTATGAATACTTAGCAGATGCACGGTATATACACACGTACGCACGCACGCACATATATACCATTTTCAACATATGAGATGACTTGGTCCCACTTTATATTAAGTGGCCTTAACTAATATGTACTTACACAGGAACTAATAGTTTGTTACAATGTACTTATTGTGCAAATACATGTATTTATTGTGTACTTATGCCTGATTAAATACATGTATGTAATTACATCTGTAATTAACTTTTGTAATTACATTTGTAAATACACTGTTGACCATCCCCACACCTTAACCCACCCTTAAACCTACCCATGCCACCAAACCTGTCCATAAACCAACCTCGATCCCAACTCAAAAGCACCACAAGTGTTCTCAAATACATTATAAACACAGTAAGTACATTATATTTATTTTTTGATGCAAGTACATAGTAGTTAAGGACACTTAATATAAAGTGGGACCGATGACTTTTATTAGGATATGGTATATTTAACATATCGCCCAGCCCTATAAAGTAAAACATAATTATTGTTTAATTTTGTAAAACTACTAATAAAATTTCTTCAAAAATAAAAATACAATTGTTAATAGGTCAAAACAACAAAAAGATGATTATATTTAGATGACAATATGATTTCACTTTAACTAATAATTGGTTAATAAACGATTGCATACACAGCAAGTAGGTCGCTGGTTCGAGCCTCGGCTGGGTCAATTGGCATTTCAGTGTGGAGTTTGCATGTTCTCCTCGTGTTTACTTGGGTTTCCTTCGGGAGCTCCAGTTTCCCCAACAGTCCAAAGAAATGCTCTATAGGGGAATTGGTTAGCTAAATTGTCGGTAGTGTATGTGTGTGAATGAGTATGTGTGCATGTGTCCCAGAGATGGGTTGCAGGTGGAAGGGCATCCACTGCGTAAAACATAAGCTGGATAAGTTGGCGGTTCACTCCAACCCCAACCCCAGATGAATGAAGGGACTAAGCCGAAAAGAAAACGAATGAGAAAACGAACATTTATTATTCAAAAATCTGTCACTTTCTGAAAAGACAATAAGCTCTAAATGACTATTTTTTTTACTTGGAATCAGGGGGAAATGCTATTAGACCTTATAGAATAAAATACATATTAACATTTTACTCCAACATGCATTAAAAAATCCAGTACATCCAGAGATACTGACATTTTTGATGTCTATATATATGTATATATATATATATATATATATATATATATATATATATATATATATATATATATATATATATATATATATATATATCATGATATACAAATTTTAAATATCAAAACAAAACTCAAATAATACAACCAAAAAAAAAAGTTTCTCAGCCTAAATGGAAACAAAATATTAAAACAAAAACTCTTAAAATAATTACAATTTCTAAATACTACACTATTTTTGTTCTATATTTTCATGTCAGGCGAAAAATCCCCTTGTTTGATTTAATTTTAAGAAAAAATTAAGCTCTAAGACAAAAATCGCTAATTAAATCAGCTAATTTCATATACAGAATGTTAAATCAAATAAAAAAGCCAAGAGATGTTTGTGAGTGATTTGAGGAGGAAAAAGCCCACTCTTCTTCAACAATAACATTTCTCAGAGGAATAAAAAGGATAAAAGGCTGTGATGAGACAACAGTGGAAACTGGAGGGTTAAGGGTGAAATTTTCCACTAAAACACGACACACTGAGTGTAATTGTCTGATAGTGGGTCGAAGTTTTGAGAAGAAGCCAAACTCGGGGGTCAGAGAATAGAGCGACATTGTGTATGAAAACAAAGGATTGATCGTGGAGTGTTTTCAGTCAGTATTATGAGGCTCTGAAGAAAAGTAGCGCTTCCATCTATAAGCTTTCTACAACAGCAGAAGAGCAGCATTCGACTGCCAGAGAAAACAAAAGAGACGCTTAAACGAGTCGCCCTGCTGCTGTGCTCAATGACTAATGCTCATGCAAATCTCACTGTGCTTGTGTGTGTTTTGTGTACGTCTCGCCATTTCTGGTAACTAATGAAAGGAGGAGGGAGAATCTGAAAGTGAAAGAAGGAGTAAAAACTCAGGATATGTAATAATTATACAAAAATAATTATTTTGCCATGATAAAAGACTGTTTAATACAATTTTTAAATATTTTCTTGATAGTTTTCACATTGTTATATAGAGTTAAAGTCAGAATTATTAGCCTCCTTTGACATTTTTCTCTTTTTTTAAATATTTCCCAAATTATGCATAACAGAGGAGGGAAATTTTCACAGTATATCTGATAATATTTTTTCTTCTAAAGAAGTCTTATTTGTTTTATTTCGGCAAGAATAAGAGCAGTTTTTACATTTTAAAAAACATTTCAAGGTCAAAATTATTAGCCCCTTTAAGCTATATTTTTTTCTCGATAGTCTACAGAACAAACTATCATCATACAATAACTTGCCTAATTACCCTAACCTGCCTAGTTCACCTAATTAACCTAGTTAAGTCTTTAAATGTCATTTTAAGCCGTATAGAAGTGTCTTGAAAAATGTCCAGTCAAATGTTATTTACTGTCATCATGGCAAAAATAAAATAAATCAGTTATTAGAAATTAGTTATTAAAAAACATGTGTTAATTGGTTTATAAAAAATAAACAGGGGGCTAATATATCTAACTTCAACTGTATATAATTTACATTTAGATGTGTAATGCGTCATTTCATTCATATGTAATGTATGTACATTGTAACTCATTATATTCTAAAAGATTTGTAGAGTTTCTTATATAAATGTTTAGTTTTATATAAATGCCTCTACATTTGAACTTTCAGTCACATCTTTAACCTTCAATTACTTTTTAATAAACAGAAGCAATATTTTCTTTATTTATTTTATTATTTTCCTATATGGATTTAGTACTTCTATATTATGTGCATAGTGCACACACCAAGTATTTACCAAGTTTCACCAAGTCATTAATTTATGGTTATTTTAAAGTTATTTTATCGTACTTTAAGTTAAATGTAGTTGTTATTTATTGAAAAAAAATGTGTAATAATAATGTTTAAAACATTGCAGTTACTATCTATGTACATATACAGTATTACAGTGTAAATACTTTGCACACAATCACTGGCCACTTTATTAGGTACACCTTACTAGTACCGGGTTAAAAACACTTTTGCCTTCAGAACTGCCTTAATCCTTCATGGCATAGATTCAACAAGGCACTGGAAATATTCCTCAGAGATTTTGGTCCACATTGACATGATACCATCACACAGTTGAAGATTTGTCGGCCGCACATCCATAATGCCAATCTCCTGTTCAACCACATCCCAAAGTTGCTCTATTGGATTGAGATCTGGTGACTGTGGAGGCCATTTTAGTACAGTAAACTCATTGTTATGTTCAAGAAGCCAGTCTGAGAAGATTCACACTTTATAACATGGCGCGTTATCTTGCTGGAAGCAGCCATCAGAAGGTGGGTACACTGTGGTCATAAAGGTATAGACATGGTCAGAAACAATGTGGCTGTGGCGTTGACAAGATGCTCAATTGGTACTAATTGGCCCAAAGTGTGCCAAGAAAATATCCCCACACCATTACACCACCACCACCAGCCTGAACAGTTGATACAAGGCAGAATGGATTTATGCTTTCTTGCTTTCAAATTCTGACCCTACCATCCGAATGTAACAGCAGAAATAGAGACTCATCAGACTCGGCAATATTTATCCAATCTTCTATTGTCCAATTTTGGTGAGCCTGTGCTGTTCTTAGCTGACAGGAGTGGCACCCGGTGTGGTCTTCTGCTGGTGTAGTTTATCAACCTCAAGGTTCGATGTGTTGTGCGTTTAGAGATGTTCTTCTACATGTTGTAACGAATGGTTATTTGAGTTACTGTTGTCAGCTCAAACCTGTCTGGCCATTCTCCTCTGACCTCAACAAGATATTTGCTCCCAAAGAAATGCTGCACACTGGATGTTTTCTCTTTTCCTGACCATCCTTTGTAAACCCTGGAGATGGTTGTGCATGAAAATCCCAGTAGATCAGCATTTCTGAAATACTCAGACCAGCCCGTCTGGCACCAACAACCATGCTACGTTCAGATCTATACACACACACACACATATATATATATATATATATATATATATATATATATATATATATATATATATATATATATTTATATATATATATATATATATATATATATATATATATATATATATATATATATATATATATATATATATATATATATATATATATAGTTTTTTTTTTTAGAATATATATGCAGAATATATCTAAAATTAACACATGATACATTTAAACCACTAGATCCCTTGGAAAAAAAAAGACTTTCCTCAGCCTTGAAGTTCTTCCTACAAATTAGGTTAATGTTTCTCCCTCATGCATAATTAATGCTAAGAAATTACAATTTCAATTTCCTTCATTAACGATTCAGCAGAGCAGGAGGTGTGCATTTCCTGTTTGTAACAAACATGTTTGTAATCTGAACATATGAGGTCCATAAACTCCATCTACTCACCTTCTCTAGATGTAGATTCATCCATCTGGTAAACGTCCTCTTCTGCACCACCTCTCGCTCCACTGAAAGAAGAGCAAAAACAACAGCGTGACATCAGTAAATGATGCACAGCGTTTCTTCATCTGAAACAGCAGCTCTGTGTCATTAATCACACGTAGCCTGAAGCTGCTGCTCATGGGAACAAAGGCCATGAAGCAGCCGAGCATCATTACAGTCAATGTGAATGACCAGAACTCATAAACACAAGCCTCTGCTGAGCACTTTCAGTTTAATGAACAGTCAACGGCCACCATGCTCATCTCTGCATTATTATTATGCTCTCAGTGCACTGACACATATTGAAAACCTGTTTTATACTTTACTGTAAATACACTGATGAGACGAACATCAAATGTCAGCGTGCAAAGATAAATTGCTATTCTTTCAAGCCCGGGCTTTGCTTTGCAAATCATTGAGTGTATTTAATGTTCAAATCATTACGAAATTACCTCACCAATGTTTTCTTCTTTTTTTTTTGAGGATTATAAACGGTTCATGCAAAACTTAAATCGACACACCTAAAGTTTTGCCTTTCATCTCACATGTTTTGAATGTAAACTGCTTCATTTCTTTAATATCTGCTTAGTTATGAAACACATCTGTGATATGTACTCACTTTTATATAATCAATATATTAAAAAAATGTAGATATGAGCACTATAATGGAATTTAAATGCATAGCTACATTCACACTGATTTCCCAAATATTGTCCAAGAAACACTACACAAGTCATCAGAACCTATATTTGGATTTTTATTAATAATAAACAGTGGTGGAAAGAGTACAAAAAAATCATACTTAATTAAAAGTACCATTATTTGCCCAAAAATGTAGTGCAAGTAAAGTAAAAGTATCTGTATCACTCAAGGTATGAGTAAAAAATAGCTCTTTTAAAAGTACTCAAGAGTAGGGAGTAGTGAGTATTACACTGTAAAAAGCTTATGAGCTAACGTGCAATTTGTGCAGGGATGTACAGTATAAACATAATATTGTGTAGTGCATTTTGTTTAGGGCCATTTGGCAATTTTAGTCATCATACAGTAGACATCCTTCATTTTCTCATTGGTGTCTAAACAGTCTCTCGGTCAATGGGTGCAAAGATTTTAGGCATTTTCTTAGACCCTTTTAATGCTTTGCTATTTATAAAAAGCCTTGAGGTTGTTACTTTTTTTACGTGTGATTTGATAGGACTGGAATCACACAAATGACTTTTTTTACTTCCAATCCCCATAGACAAGAATAAAATAAAGTAGTGACTGCAGGTTGAAGGTAAATAGTGGAGTAAAAGTACCAATACTGAACTAAAAATGTGCTCAAAGGAAAGTAAAAGTACACAATATAAAACTACTTACTTTTCCTGGGAAAAATTATAGTAATATGAGTATTTGTAATTTGTTACTTTACATCACTGATAATAAAGTACATTTACCTTTACTGGTGTTAAACCTTTAGGAATTTCTTCACAAACACAAAAAAAATATCCTCAAGAAACCTGTAAGCCTGTAACCATTGACTCCTGTAGTATTTGTTTTTCCTACTATGGAAGTCAATGGTTACTGGTTTTTGGCTTTCTTCAAATTATCTTCCTTTGTGTTTTACAAGAAAAAAGAACCTCACAAAGGTTTGGAACCACTAAAGGGAGAGTAAATAATGAGTAAATCTTCATTTTTGGGTGAACTATTCCTGATATGTAGTGATATGCAATACAGTACATCTCAATAACTTTGTTGTTCAAAAGAAAATCTTTTTTACCAATGAAAATAACAGATTTTTTTACATACAGTCCTCAGCATATATGAGTACAACTCCCACAAATCTCTCATTTAAATTAATATTTTCTATAGAATGCTTTACAATGTTATATTTGTGCATGTACTTTAGATTAGTCAGCACTGAAGCCAAATCTGGAGCTAATCTAACAAAATAACCCACGATAATGATTCAAAATTTAGTAGCCTAAATTTATATGTTAAGGAAAAATTATAAATAATATTTTCAAGGAGAAAATCAGGAGAAACAAAAAATATGCACAACTTTGCTGAAATGTTGTAGTTTGTGGTTTCTTTTTGCAATATTTTGCATAAATTTAAATGTCTTATCTTTCCATTTCTAAAGATGTTCTGTGACTAAAATAATATTTTAATAAATATAACAGTTTAATAAATCTGTTTTGTTCAAATGATACAATATATATTACCAAATTCTGTGAGAAATTGATAAAAATATTCATTTTCAAAACGGGGTGTACTCGTATATGCAGAGCACTGCACATACATACAGCATATCTTAATTTATGCTTACTGTACACTTGTGTAATGCTATATATACACTATTATACAAGGCTAAACTTGGGCTGACAGTAAAAATCTAATAGACAGTAAAATAAACAGGTAATTTATATTTTTTTCTGATCTAATTAAATCTAATTTAATAATAATAAAAAAAAACAATGTAAAAGTGAAAACATTAAGACTTTAAAACACTATGTTTGACTATATTCTTTTCCTCATTCATCTCTACTCTTGCTTTCAGTATTTATTTGAAACTCTCTCCTCAGACACATGCACTATAGGTTCACCTTTAGGCCCAGTCCAGCCAATAGCAAAATAGCACTGACTATAGATAGTAAGGCTCCATCTGATTGGTAAATTTGAATAAACAAGGTTTGCATGCATATCACCAATGCTTGGTAAATAAAATTAATATTAGTATTAATAAATTAATATTAATAAAAAAATATATACTAATATCATATATTAATAATGTTTCAATATATTCTATTATATTATTCATTCATTCATTTTCTTTTCAGCGTAGTCCCTTTATTAATCTGGGGTTGCCACAGCAGAATGAACCGCCAACTTATCCAGCATATGTTTTACGCAGCGGATGCCCTTCCAGCAGCAATCACTGGGAATAAATTATATTATATTATATTATATTATATTATATTATATTATATTATATACAACAGTTCTGTCTGGTTCTCGAATCTGATTGGCTGATAGCCATGATATATTTAAGTAATATCTGCACCCGTACAGCCTCTTTACCCTTTCTGTACTCCGCCCACATACAGCCAGCAAAAAGCGGACACTATAGATCTAAATTTTAAAAGATGCTTGCTCAGCTGTTTAACTGTCAGCTTATGATTTGGATCCAACGCGGAAGAAAGTAGTTCCTCATACAAAAGGGGTTTTGAGACTCTTTATGTTTGATTTTGTTTTTATATACACAATTATGCCGTCAAACTGTTGTATAAACGCAATATCACACTCGTAGCAGTGCGATATGGCTGTATATCGGCACTGGTGGGGGCACTAAGGCACTCCCTGCGGCCTCGTGCCAACGCACGCCTCCCACCAGTGATTACCATTGTTGCACATTTCTGCTGTGTGACTGGCTCTTGAATCAATTAGGAGTAAAAAAAAAAAGTTCAGAGCTTATCAATGTTATTGACATAAATGTTATCACGATTCAATCTAATATCGGTTATTGGCCCAGCCCTACTTTCAGTGTTTAAAGATTTGATTTGATTGAAAAAATGAAAAAATACAGTGCCAAAACCACACAAAAGAGTTAAGGGACATGCTGTGAAAGTTCACCAAAATGATTAAGCACTAAATGATAACCACTGAGCCACCATGTTGGCCCAACGCATCTTCATACCCGGTGAAAACACTGTAAAAGCACTATAGAAATAAAGATGAATTGAATTGAATAATGCATCATTTCATTGAAAAAGTATGTTAACACCAGGCAGAAACTGCATACACAAGTAGCATTTTCCATCAACCCCAAACCCCACCCCTAACCCTACCCCTCATTGGGGGATCAGCAAATCATACTAAAATGTATGAATGAGATCTTACAAATGAATACAAATTAGCTACTAAATCAAAAGGTTGTGAATTACTGTGAGATTACATTTAATCAATCACATCATTCATTTATTCATTTTCCTTCAGCTTAGTACCTTATTTAGCAAGGGTCACCACAGCCGAATGAACCGTCAACTATTCTGAGTCCGACATATGTTTTAAACAAGCGATGCCCTCCTAGCAGCAACCAAGCACTAAGAAACAGCCATACACTCTCACATTCACACACACACAGACTACGGCTAATTTAGTTAATCAAATTCATCTATAGTGCATGTCTTTGGACTGTAGGGGAAACCAGAGCACTCAGAGAAAACCGACGCCAACACAAGTAGAACATGCAAACTCCACACAGAAACACCAACTGGTACAGTCGGGACTCAAACCAGCGACCTTCTTGCTGTGAGGTGACAGTGTTACCCACTGTGCCTCTGTGTCTCCCCCACATCTCACATCTTACTGTAAAGAAAAAAGAAAAGTTTATATGATGTCACTAAAAGCTGGTGATTCAGTTACTTTGTGTTTGGAAACAAAGGTCAGATGTTTCTGGGAATCTTGTGTACACGCTTCGAAAATACAAGACATCTGGCCCAGAGAGACGGTGCTGGTGGTTGCGGAGACTCCCATGAGATGGTGCCTGATTATATGATCCGTCAGGCTGAGCGTCTACAATGTCTACCTCATGATGAATGCTTTCTTCTCAACTTCTCTCTTTCTCTGCCTGCAGCTCATTATGATTCTCTAGGTGAACACACACACACACACTCACACACATATACATATACACACACAGACAAATGTATGCACATACACACACATACACAAACTTACATACACACTCACACACAAACATATACATTCATTCATTCATTCATTTATTCATTTTCTTTTCGACTTAGTCCCTCTATTAATCTACGTTCACCACGGCGGAATGAACCGCCTATGTTTTACGCAGCATATGTTTTACGCAGCGGATGCCCTTCCAGCTGCAACCCATCACGGGGAGACACATACACACTCATTCACATACACTACGGACAATTTAGCCAACCCAATTCACCTGTACCGCATGTCTTTGGACTGTGGGGGAAACTGGAGCACCCGGAGAAAACCCACGCAAACAACGCAGGGAGAACATGCA